GGTGAATGCACCCCGGCCAGGCAACCGAAGTAGAGTAGATAACCTTCAACTTTTTTTGGGTAGTAGAATCCCTATAAATTCCCAAATGGTAACCTTTAGTTCCCAAAGGTTACTGGACAATTAAGAAAGCGCCTTCACTGCCCAGCTTCCCCAGAAACAAGGGGGGGCCCCACTTTCGCCCCGCCTCCTTCTCTGCCAACAAACCCTTAAAAACCTAAAACTTGGGCACTTTCCCTTGATGCTGAAAGTCCTTAATGGGGATTACAATAGGGGGTACTACCATCCCTATTAAGGCCTGCTAGTATAAAGGGGGGAACATCCCAACCTATAACCCCTCAAAAAGGGCCCCCAACCTATGGCTCCTTTGCTCCTCAGGGGATCAAGGCCTCTGCTCGTGAAGGGTGGCCCCGCTCGTTTTTCGGGTTTGGGGTGAAAAGTTTCGTGGTTGGGGTTAGGAGTCTGTTTGTGTGGTTAGGTCATGAGGTCTGGGTTTGGGATTGTGATTGTTTCGTCAGGGGGTCTTTGAGGGTTAGGGTGCGTTTCGCATTTCGGATCTTTTCATCAGGAGGCCTGCACTATTTAGGGTCTGGGTATGGGGCCAATCCGGATCTGGGGAGGGGAGGGGGGGTGATCTTGGAGGTGGTCTAAGGCCATGTGACGCCTCGAACACATACAAGTGACCTGCCCCCTGCTATCAGCTGCTCCGACTCCCCAGACACCTGGTTCTTGCCAACCCCAAGCCCTAGTTCCTAAATCCCGAACCCTAAACCCTAAACCCTAAACCCGAAACCCGAAACCCTAAACCCTAAACCTCTCTACCATATATACCTAAATGTTAAACACGAATGTGGCGTTCCGACCCCCATTGTTCAGCACGAATTTGGCGTTTTCACCCGTCTGACCCATTTGGCCCCCCCATTGTTCAGCACGAATTTGGCGTTTTAACCCGTCTGACCCATTTGGACCCCCATTGTTCAGCACGAATTTGGCGTTTTGACCCATCTGACCCATTTGGACCCCCATTGTTCAGCACGAATTTGGCGTTTTGACCCGTTGGTGTTTTGACCCGTCTGACCCGTTTGGACCCCCCGTTGTTCAGCACGAATTTGGCGTTTTGACCCGTCTGACCCATTTGGACCCCCGTTGTTCAGCACGAATTTGGCCCGTCTGACCCATTTGGACCCCCATTGTTCAGCACGAATTTGGCGTTTTGACCCGTCTGACCCGTGTGATTGTGTGGCCTCTTGGTGCGTCTGAACAGAAATTAATGAACTTTTTACTTTCTTAATGTTATGGGATTCTTTGGGCGTGTTGGTTTTTTCCGTTGCCTACACACACTGCAGGCCTAGTAACTGCTCGAACTTGAGATGCTGAACCCTAAACCCTAAACCCTAAACCCTAAACCCTAAACCCTAAACCCTAAACCCTCTACCCTCTACCCTCTAAACCCTAAACCCTAAACCCTACACCCTAACCCAGAAGCCCTAAGCCCTGAGCTTGCCTCTGCTTAGTTGCATGGCTGGCCTTATAAGCTCCAGAGATCTCAAGCTCGGACGTTGCGCCTGAGAGCTTGAGAGCCGCCAGTGCTCCCGGGTTTAGGGTTTAGGGTTTAGGGTTTAGGGTTTAGGGTTTAGGGTTTAGGGTTTAGGGTTTAGGGTTTAGGGTTAGGGCTTAGGGCTTAGGGCTTAGGGTTTAGGGTTTAGGGTTTAGGGTTTAGGGTTTAGGGTTTAGGGCCGTAAACCCTAAACATCCTTGGACCCCGACTAAACCCTACGCCCCAAAGCAACGCTAAAGCACACCTTCAAACCCTTCAAACCCTTCAAACCCTAAACCCTACAAACCCTAAACCCTAAACCCTAAACCCTAAACCCTAAACCCTAAACCCTAAACCCTAAACCCTAAGAGAGCCAGGGCTGCCTTCCCCTTGTTGATGACCCTGGCGTTGGAGGTTGGGCGCAGGGCTTTAGTGGAGAGTGTTGGGGGGGGGGGGGACTCGGGTTGCAGCACCCTCTGGTTTGGGCTTAGGATTTAGGGTTTGGGCTTTTGGGATTTAGGGTTGAATTATGGCCCTCTGCAATGGGCTTGGTAGGGTTTAGGGTTTCGGTTTAGGGGTTTTGTAGGGTTTCGGGTTCAAGGCAAACCCTGAACCCCCAGTGGCTAGGGTTTAGAATCGAATGGCTTTTGTTGATTGAGGATTAGGTTCCCTTATGTGTCCAGTTGAGCAACAAAAGAGTTTAGGGTTTGATTTGGGGTTTAAGGGTTTAGGGCTTAGGGCTTAGGCCTTAGGGTCTATGTAGGCCCTTTCTCATTCTTAGGCCTCGCAGCAATAAGTCCTTCATGGCAGCCGGGCCGCGGGTATCCCCATCCTAAAAGCCAACCAGCGCCCCCTTCCGGGAAGGTCCCCTCCCCATTATCATTTAGATATAGCTGCAGGTGCTTGAGTCTATGGGAGGTAGGGATGGGTTTGGCATAAGGTGAGCGACTGAGCTCATCTTAACTCCAAATGCAGCGCCTGGTTGGGGTGTAAAAGTTTCGGGTTCAGGGTTTCGAGCAAGATGGCCACGAGGATGGCAGCGTGCCGGCGGATCGGTAGCCCGGTGGCAGGGAGGCCCCTGTCGTGGTGCCTACCGGATGAACGCAAAGCACGCTTTCAGTGCCGAAGGTGGTGGTGCCGTCACGCCGTCATCCCAATGTTCACCTTCAGAAATGGCGGTTTACGGAAAAAAACGGACCCCTAATATAGACCATATAGTAGGAGTCCCATATAAAGGACCCCAAGAAGGTACCCCTAATTTCCGAAACCCCCCAATCGGCGTGAGGAGGAGATCTTGAAAGCCAAAAGGAGCTATATCCCCCTTGGGAGTTTTTGTTTACTTTTGTTTATATCAAACCCAAGAGGATATAAAAAAAACATCATTTTTCTTAGGGTTCTAAGGGGAGTAGAGGGGGTCTTGCGGGGGTTGCAGGGTGTCGGAGGCCCTTGGAGCTGGGTTGGTCTTGATGTCTAGACGTTTGGGGTTTGCGGGTGGAGGTTTAGGAGTTGAGGGGTTGCCGTTCAGGGTTCGGGGTTTAGGGTTTAGGGTTTAGGGTTTAGGGTTTAGGGTTTAGGGCTCATCTGGGTCAGCATTTGCTTTCAAGGTTCGTGTTTCAAGTTGCATCGGTTCTCAGTGCTGCATACAGCTCCGACATTCGAAAGTCTCTTTTAGGGTCGACTCGAGGGCTGCCGCAGCTCAGCTGCCGCGAGCCCAAAAACCCCAACTAGAAGGCTTTGTGGTTTGGGGTTTAGGGTTTAGGGTTTAGGGTTTAGGGTTTGGGGTTTAGGGTTTAGGGTTGAGGGTTTAGGGTTTAGGGTTTAGGATACGGCAGGTTCCGAAAGCATGGTGAGGGAGGTGACTTCGTAGTAGAGCAGGTAACCTTTGATCTTTTGGGGGCCTTATAATGATAATCCCTATAGAATTATAGAATCCTAAAGGCTAACCTTTAGTTCCAATCGGATACTGGACAACTACTACTATTTGCGTAAGAACCGCAAAAGAATAACCCTTAACAAGGAAGAGTCTTTGTGTTTTTTTGGGGGTTCTTGAACCCTAAACCCTAAACCCTAAACCCTAAACCCTAAACCCTAAACCCTAAACCCTAAACCCTAAACCCTAAACCCTAAACCCTAAACCCTAAACCCTAAACCCGTAGACTAGGATAAGAATGCCAAGCCATCACTCCAACCCCTGCTGCAGTGGCGGCCCATCGGAGAGCGCCGTTCGGTGACTGCCGTGAGCTTGAATGTGTTTGTAGGGTTTAGGGTTTAGGGTTTCGGGGTTAGGGTTTAGGGTTTAGGGTTTAGGGTAAGTCCCAAACCCCAAGCCCCCCAGACCCAAGAGCTCCGCTATGGGCATTCCAGCCACAAGTCTCTGTCGGGAAGCTTCTTATGCCCTTGGCCTAAACCCTATAGCCCTAAACATCAGAGTTCCCATCCCGAAACCATAGGGTTTCGGGTTTAGGGTTTAGGGCTGAACCCCCTGAATTTGGAGGGCTCTTGAAGCCCCCCACAATCCAAGAGCTTTGGGCTCTACCCCCGAACTGGAGGGTTCATATGGGTGGTTTAGGGTTTCGGGTTTAGGGTTTAAGGAAGTAGGGTTGAGATTAGGGGCGGCCGTGGTTGGGACCTCCATTGTAGGACGTCTGACTGTACTTAGAATGCCCATGTGCCTGGATGCAATGCTCTACATCCAAAAAACCTAAACCCAAAGAGCTCCTCTCCAAAGCGGTGCTTGTTGGGCCCCTAGACCCTAGACCCTAAACCCTAGACCCTAAACCCTAAACCCGAAAGGCCCTAAACTACTGTCATGGCTGGAGGCTTGTGGGCGTCATGTGGCCATATCCCTCCATGCTAAGCCCCGGCGTAGTCGAGCCTCAAGATTGTTGCTTCGGGTGCTTCTAGGCTAGGGCCTCACACATAGGGTTTAGGGTTTTGGGTTTTGGATTTTGGGTTGAGACCAAACGGCTCCCAAACCCCGCGCCCTCAAACTGCTGCCGTTTCAAGCCCCTGTGCGGGCCGATCCGAGACCATGAGGGGACCCCACAGTCATGCACCAAAAACCCCACGAGCGTGCCAGGAAAGCATCGCTCATCATGGGCCTAGGGAACTGGGAAATAGTCATCAGATCACAGTCAGAGTCATAGGAACAGTCAAATGAATGCGGGATAGCAGCAATAATCATAGCAGAGAATCGCAGAATTGTCATGACGGTGAGGGACTCGCTCCCGTCAACCCACCCCAGAGGAGCAGTGAAGTTAAGGAACCCTACATCGCTCCCACCAGAATCGTTCTACCCGACCTTCCCCTCCCCTAGATTTCCTAGCAGTTTCAAGGGACATATGTATGTTTATGTATACATAGACACACACACACATAGTATGTCCCTTTATTGCAGGCTAGGAGAGGATGTTCTTTAGTTCTTTAGGAGTATCTTTGGGGTTCAAAGGGCCAACTTTGTGCCGCCATGTCCTACCACTCAAGGGTGAAGCCGGGGGCCCTGCCGTACAGGGTTTGGGTTTAAGGTTGAGGGTTTAGGCTTCAGGGTTTAGGGTTTAGGGCTTAAGGCTTGAGGCATTGTTAGGGCTTTAGGGCTTCGGGCTTCGTGAGATTCGTGTGTGTGGGATTCAAAAGCGTCCAGGGCTTCTGGCCTAACTTCAGGAACCTCGTGAAATCTCCAGGTTTCGTAGCCCTAAGCCCTCACAGGTTTTCGGACGTGCTTGGGGCTTCAAGGGTGGACATCGTGCGACTTGCGTGTCAGGTCGTCGGAGCTTGTTCCTGCATGCAATGGGTGAAATCCAGGCCTTTGTTGGGGTATAAGGCTGAAGGTGCCTTGTGCCTTATTACTTGGTAGCCCAGTGGTACCCTTTTCCCTTTCTATTTTTTTGGTTCAAGGTTCCCTTACAAAATAAACAACCAAAGCAAGGGTGCCCTTATAAGAATATGGTCACTGGGCTACCGAGATTTGGGTCCTCAGATCAACAAACTGACCCGGGGCTGTTTTTGCTGCGTGTGCTGCTTTGCTTCGTGTCCTGTGTGCTGTGCGTGGTGATGGCAGCTGTGAAGCCGCCAGCCTGTCGTTCGACATGTCCGTCTTAGGGTTTAGGGTTTAGGGTTTAGGGTTTAGGGTTTAGGGTTTAGGGTTTAGGATTTAGGGTTTAGGGTTTAGGGTTTAGGGTTGTTTCGGGTGAGTTGCCAGAGGCATTCACTCCACGATTGTCAGCCGTTCGTGATCCTTTCTCAGATTTTCCACTGCGCCCGTGGACATAAGCGGAGAGAGTGCTTTGTCATTCCGAGGTCTGCACAGTTTGCCATTGGATCTTTTCTCGGCTTTTGATTGTTCAACACATGAAACCATGCAGCATTGATCGTTATTGTGTCTGGCGAAATATCATTTCCCACCAAGCGAAGCCCCCTATACTTCATGGTCCACCATCGCCGACGGCCGCGTCTCGTCTCGTCGATGTCATCTTTGCCGCATGACGAACTTCTCCCAGGCGACAGCACCGTTTATCAGGCAGTGCCCAAATCCGAATTCCTGAAGTCGATACAGCAAGCCTGACGGCTGCGCTTGACATTCCTCCGACGTTTTCTCGGATGAGTATGTGTGTGCAACGCAGCTGTGCTCGGTCTCGATGTGACGCCTTGGATGTTCAGTGCGTCTTGCGGCGTCGACTTCGATGTTGGCGATGAGGACAGCACATCACGACCCATGGACAATTTTCTTGCCCTGTTGCAGACTGTCTGCCGCTGCTGCGCTTGATCGTTCCGAGTTCTGGCGCATCGTGTCGTGCTTCGCACGGGTTCTGTATGCGAACTACATGTCACGTGTCTGCATTCCGGTTCGTCATTTTTTGAGGTACAGGGGCACGCCCAGATGAGAGGAACGAAGTGCTTGTTGCTGTGCGTGAGTTCTTGGAATCCCCGCGCCGATATGCCAGGGCGGAGCAGCGGATTTAGGGTTTTAGGGTTTTGGGCAAAACAACCACAGCGTCGAGCAAGTAACCACAGCGATCCAAGCAACAAGTGTCTTCGCTGGCATTCCTAGAACCCTCAGAACACGCAATCACGCCGGATCCTCTGCGTGGTAGGGAAAATACGAGAAAAATGTTTCTTTCGGCTTGGTTCCGGGACTTAGCACAGGCGATGTTGTGCGCAGTGCACGTGTCATCTTCGTTTAAATGGCCAAATAAGGGCACTCTTACTAGGCTGCACACCCAACTGTTCCCTTAGGAGCTGTCTCCCCTTTTGGAAAAGAAGCCCATATCCGAGCCCGACCTTGGTGTAGGATGTTGGGTTAAAGTACTTAGGGCTTAGGGTTTGAAGTGCCTTTTGGGTTCAGGGTTTAAGGTACGAAAAGAGAAACCAAGTCACCTTTAATCCCAATAAACCCCAAGCCCCCCCCCCCCCCCCCCCCCCCCCCCCCTAACCGCTGAACCGTACACATCCTATAACCCTACACGCCTTTCAAGCACCTAAACCATAAACCCCAAACCCTAAAAGCCCTAAACCCTAAACCCTAGGCCCTAAACCCTAAACCCTAAACCCTAAACCCTAAACCCTAAACCCTAAACCCTAAACCCTAAACCCTAAACCCTAAACCCTAAACCTAACCCTAAACCCTAAACCCTAAACCCTAAACCCTAAACCCTAAACCCTAAACCCTAAACCCTAAACCCTAAACCCTAAACCCTAAACCCTAAACCCTAAACCCTAAACCCTAAACCCTAAACCCTAAACCAACCTGCCAGCCGGTCAACCCTCGTAGCTCCACCGACCTCTGCGCTTGCCTCCCAAGCTCGAGGCCAACAAAGTCGGGTCGCCTATGGCATCACGAGACCGATGGAGGACGGTTTTCGGAGTTTAGGGTTTAGGGTGAAGGGTGAAGGGTTTAGGGTTTTAGGAATTAGGGTTTAGGGTTTAGGGTTCAGGGTGAAGGGTTTAGGGTTTAGGGTTTAGGGTGTAGGGTGAAGGGTTTAGGGTTTAGGGTCTGCAGCGCCGGGCTTTCCATTAACTATGTGGGTGTTATTTTCATTCCTTGCAGCCTTCAGCAGTTCCACTTTTGTTGGGCCGCCAACGCTGTTTCTTTAAATCCCGTTTCTTTTGTGCATTTGGGGGGGCTATGGCTCCCGTGACGGAAGTAGTCTTTCCGGGGGGTTTGGGCCCAAAATGAGTTCTTTAAATCAAAGGTTTTATTAATCAGATCCTCGGATTACTTCTCATGGGTCAGTCCTAAACTCCCAAACCCCAGAAGCCGTGGACGATTTGATTCCTACACACTAATTCAGCCCACGAAGCCCTAAAGCCGTAAACATGCCTAAGCCTTAAGCCCTCAACCCTAAACCCTCAACCCAACCCTAAACCCTCAACCCTAAACCCTCAACCCTCAACTCTCAACCCTAAACCCCTCAACCCTAACCCAAAGCCTACGTCAGGCCCAGCCCCCGGGTCTGAACTGGCCATGCAGTTGCTCAGCCAGAAAAGGCGGTTTGGGGTTCAGGGTTCCAGGTTTGGGCTTTAGGGTTTAGGGTTTGTGTTTATAAACACCGATGCACATACATTCATGATAAAGCTCACGTGTGTTTATAATATACACATCTACACACCTTTTGTGTCGCCAGGAACATTTCATTCAATCAACCAAGACACCCAGTGTGTGTGCGGGTGAGAGAGAGGAGTTTTTTTTTTTTTTTTTTGGGGGGGGGGGGTTGTTGCTTGCAAACACGAGGCCGAAATATCAAAATATACATATAGACACAAGCAATCCATACATATATATATATGTAGATAGATACATACATACATACATACATATATATATATAAGGTTTAGTTTGGATGTGTTTTTCATGGTTGAGGATTTCAGGACAGGAGTTGCTGATTCTGGGTTGAGGATTTCCGAATATCAAACCTCGAAGATCCCTCCAAGTGAGGCAGTGCCAAAGCGTAGGCCCCAGGGTTGAAGGTTCGGGGTTCAAGGTTTAGGGTTTGGGGTTCAGGGTTTGGGGTTTGGGGTTTGGGGTTCTTGGGGTTTAGGGTTTGGGGTTTGGGATCGAGGGTTTGGGGTTTAGGGTTTAGGGTTTGGGGTTTAGGGTTAGGGGAAGTCTCCCCTCCCGACCCTCCTCCCCCGCCCTGCTGCTCGCTTTTCTCGGTTTTCGGGTTCTCGGGTTCATACCCCTCTTCTGGCATATTGCTCTTAGGATTGTATTGCTGTTATCATCATTCCTCTCTCCTCCCAAAGCCCTAAACCCTAAACCCTAAACCCTAAACCTAAACCCTAAACTTGTTTTATTTCTGTATAAGGGGGGTGGAGTAGGTTGGGGTTGGGGCTTCGAGGAACTTCCATGTGTGTGAGAGCCGGTTCCGTGCTCGGCCTGGAGGGTTTTTGCAGCGGGGTGCCCTGGTGTTTTGGGGGGCTTAGGGTTTAGGGTTTAGGGTTTAGGGTTTAGGGTTTAGGGTTTAGGGGCTCAGGGGTTAGGTTTTAGGGTTTAGGGTTTAGACAAAGTTTAGGGTTATTGGGTAGGGTCTAGGTTTACATGCTACCCAAGAACCGTTAAGTAGCCCCTCACTCGACAGGCCACGCCCTTCGACGTCCGGCGCAATGGTTGTGAGGCTTGACAAGTAAATTCTAAACCCTAAGCCCTAAGCCCCAAGCCCTATACCTAAGCCCCCAATCCTTACATATCCTCACTCCTAAGCCCAACACTCTCATTCTTAAACTTAAAACCCTCAATCCGAGTCACAACCGCAAAGCCCTAGCAGCTCGAGGACGTAGAAATTCGTGCTCGGCTTTTCGGGCTTTAGGGATTTCGAGTTTAAGAGTTTATTATAGGTTTTCAGGGTTGTACTTTAGCCCCTATTGTTTTGCATGTACGCCTCTTTACCCGCGTCAGCGGCCCAGCAAGCCCGAAAGCCGAAACCCTCAACTCTAAGCCCTGAACCCCTAAAGAAACTAATTCGCAGGGCTTCCACAAATCAACAGATCAAGCCGCACTCCCTCCCAGGGCCACTTGCCCACCCCGAAGACCATGGAACTACCCTGAGAGGGCTTTGGGTTTGTGGGTTTAGGGGCCTCTTGTGATGGACAGACACCAAGCCCGAAGCCCTAACCTCAGCTGCGGTCCCACCTCCTGTAGGAAGGGAGGGTTTAGGGTTTAGGGTTTAGGTTTTAGGGTTTAGGGTTTAGGGTTTAGGGTTTAGGGTTTAGGGTTTAGGGTTTAGGGTTTAGGGTTTAGGGTTTAGGGTTTAGGGTTTAGGGTTTAGGGTTTAGGGTTTAGGGGTGTCGGCTGGTGGTTGTTGAATGTCGGCGAGTTGGGGTTTAGGGTTTAGGGTTTAGGGTGACCCCAGGAGCCCTCCCTCCGTCCCACCAAAAAGATAAGAAGGGCGCAAAAACCTTGGCCTGACGCTTAAAGGCAAACCCTGAACCCCCGAGCCTAAACCCATTTGAACTTCTGAAGCCTGAAGGCAGAACTCAATTTTTTCCAATCCCCCTTACACAAACAGTCCTTCGTCGGGATTATAGTACCCCCTACTGTAATCCCTACTAAGGACTGTTACCCTACTATAATCCCGACGAAGGACTGTTAGTGTAAGGGGGAACATCCCAACCCTAAACCCTAAACCCTAAACCCCAAACCCCAAACCCTAGACCCTAAACCCTAAACCCTAGACCCTAAACCCTAAACCCTAAACCCTCAACCCTATAAACCCCAAACACAGGCAGGCAGAAGACCCGCTTCTGGACTTGAAGTCCCACCTCGGTCAGTCTCTGCCACTTGGCACCGCTCTTCCCAGAACACCTCTAAAACCCTGGACCCTAAACCCGAAACCCTAAACCCTAGCCCTAAACCCTAAACCCAGAAGCACCACTCTTCCCAGAAACCCGAAACCCTTAAAGCCCAGAAACCCTAAACCCTAACCCCCTTGCATTGAAGCCAAAAGTTCTCTTTGGAAACCCGGAAGATGGGATTGCACAAGACCTTGCAAAGACTCCTTGGTTCAGCTTATGTTCAGAACACAAGAAGCGCGAGCGATCAATGAGTCATGTAATTTAGCATGCTTAAGTGACCCGCCCACACCCGCCGAAGAGCGCGGATGGACTTTCTTCTTAAGCCCTAAACCATTAGGGTTCAGGGTTTAGGGTTTAGGGTTTAGGGCTTAGTATATAGGTTCTCGGGTCTCGAGCTTGGGATATCGGATTCAGGGTGTAGGGTTGAGGTAAACTCTACGCCCCAAGACCTCGGCGCTCCCCTACTTGGAGGACTTTTAAAGCCCTTTAGGTACCCTGGTTTAGGGTTTAGGGTTTAGGGTTTAGGGTTTAGGGTTTAGGGTTTAGGGTTATAATTTGGGCTATAAGTACAGTTATGACTGGTTAATAAGTACCATGAACCTTCAAGTAGCTCAGGCCCGATGTGCGAGTCCGATTTATCTCTGGGCACAGCGGCTCTGGTGGCGCGGAGCCCTAAGCCCTAAGCCCTAAGCCCTAAACCCTAAAACCTAAACCCTAAACCCTAAACCCCCCCTGCCCACCCGAATATCACCCCTATACGAAGACCTCTAACATATGTTTTAGGGTTTAAGGATATGGGCGGTTCTCCGGTGTTGTGGCACTCTTGAAATACGAAGTCTGGCGAGCTTAGAATTTCATAGGGTTTAGGATTTAGGGTTTAGGGAGCTATGTCTTGTGTAACTTTGTGGTCTCTAGACCCTCACCCCCAAGCCCGAAAAAACAGGTTCCGAAACCCTCAACCCCCCAAACCTTACACCCTACACTCTCAACCGCAAACCGCCCCCACACCACAAAACCCAAACCCAATCCAGCCTGCCTAAGAATCCGAAGAGGGGTTGCGCAGTCAGAACCTACCAAAACGTAGCCTTCGTTGCAAGAAAGCTAAATCCGCCTCGCCTCCCCCCCCAACAAAAGATCACAAAAAAAACAACAGAGAGGGAGGGAGGGAGGGAGGGAGGGAGGGAGAGAGACAGAGAGAGAGAGAGAGAGAGCGCGAAATAGCAAGCAACACTTGCTTAACCTAGCCCCCTAATCCCCTCTCCCTAATATTATACCCCCCCCCATTCCCCCGAATATTGAGAACCCCCAATATACTATAACGATTATGGGGGGGTATTTAATATTAGGGGGGGGGGGGGGGGGTAGGGTTTAGGGTTTAGGGTTTGGGGTTTAGGGTTTAGGGTTTAAGGTTTAGGGTTTAGGGTTTAGGGTTTAGAGTTTAGGGTTTAGGGTTAGGGTTTAGGGGGTTTAGGGATTCAATGTTAGGGGGTTTAATGGGGGAGGGGATTACCCTCCACCGTACACCCCAAAGTCGCGCCCTTTCCCAACAGGTCGTCGCCAGCTGCCTGCGGCCTCTTGGACCGTGAGCAGCGGCAATGTGGATTAAGTTAGGGTTTAGGCTTTAGGGTTTAGGGTTTAGGGTTTAGGGTTTAGGGTTTAGGGTTTAGGGTTTAGGGTTTAGGGTTTAGGGTTTAGGGTTTAGGGTTTGGGGTTTAGGTTTTGGGTTTAGGGTTTAGGGTTTAGGGTTGGGGGTTTAGGGTTTGGGGTTTGGGGGTGTAGGGGTTGTGAGGTTTCGGAATCACGGTTTAGGCTGAGGGGTGTGGAGGTTGGGGTTGGAGGTTGATGGGGGTAGCCCGACGCGAAGCGGCGATTTGGGTGTATCTGGGCTTCAAATCAAGAGGCACGATTTAGGGGTTTACGAGAATCGGGGACCCTTACCAGAAAGACCCCCATCTCGGGAGCTTTGGCGAAGGCAGGTCGCCATTTGTGATCTGCCCTTCCGAGTTGCAGTGTAGGGTTTAGGGTTTAGGGTTCAAAGTGCACTTGAGGTTCAATCCTATTTTTACATACGAGGGATTTTAGCAGGATAGATGTACATAGGGAGCCCGAGTTGAAAAAACCTCGGCTCCTACCCCCAAACTCCAAAACCCCTAAGCCCGGAACCCTTGAGAGCTTTTCAGGCCTTAGCTCAGAAGCCGTGGGGTCGGCTCTAGGTGTGTATGTGATTCCGGGTTAAAGGGGTTGAGGATTTAGGGTTTAGGATTTAGGGTTTAGGGTTTAGGGTTTAGGATTCCGGGTTTAGGGTTTAGGGTTTCAGGGAGTTCGGGGAAAGGGGGCTTAGGGCCCTGCACCCTGCCTACACTATGGGTTTAGGGCCCTACAACACCCACACCGCATCAAGCTAAGTGCCTGGCGAGTGGCCCGCCAATGGCTCTTATGCCGCAGCCCCTGCAGCACCTCGGCTTCATTTCGCGTTTGCGAGTCAACCTGGAATGAAGATTAAGGAAGCATTAAACCCTAAACACCCAGAAGCCCCTACCCCTAAGAAGTAGTTAGGAGTCGTTCGTTCCCTTTTCCGATTGCTGTTTGGGTCTCTATCGTTTTGCATTCTGGTTAGTTCAGGATCACTAATCCCTAAACCCTACACCCTAAACCCTAAACCCCAAACCCTAGCCAAAAAGGGTTGAGTGAGGTGTCTCGAAGTGCCTTTTTTGCGGATGGTTTTAGTCAAGGCGTCTTCGAAGGCTTCGAAACCTCAAGAAGCCTGGGTAGGCCCCATAATCCCTACACCCTGAACCCCAAACCATGTGGACATATTCGTATGTTCCTGTTGGGCTTAAGCGGATGATGTTTAGGACATTTTTGTGGGAGGGCTTGTGGTCCAAAATAGCTCCTGAACCCTGACCCTAAACCCTAAACCCTAAACCCTAAACCCTAAACCCTAAACCCTAAACCTTAAACCCTAAAGCATGCCGGGCCCTACTCCAGCTGGCAACAACTCGAGCCCTAAACCCTGCAGCCGAAATTATACCAGCCTCTACACCCTGACCCCCCCAAACCCTGAACTTTGAACCCCAAACCCTGAACCCTAAACCCTAAATGAACACCCACAATTTGATGAAGCTCTCTACCCTTCGAAGCCAAACTAAAGCCGACTGCAAAAGCCTACAGCCCTAAAGCTTCAAGCCGAAAAGCAGAAGCAACCGACTGCATGAGTCAAAGACCATGAGCACATAAGGCATGCAATCCTCAAGCCGAAACGCAGAAACTTGAACCCTCAACGTCTCAGTGCCCCCAATATCTGCAACCACCCTAAACCCTACACCCGAGACCCGAACCCGAAACCCGAAACCCGAAACCCGAAACCCGAAACCCGAAACCCGAAACCCGAAACCCGAAACCCGAAACCCGAAACCCGAAACCCGAAACCCGAAACCCGAAACCTAAATCAATCACCTGAATTCCCAAAGCATGGCATCCTAAAGCCCTCAATCCTAAACCCTAAACCCGAAACCTAAACCCTAAACCTCCAAGCCCTACACTGTAGGTATGCAATTCCTTAAGGGACGGGGGTTCAAGAGAGTGGTACGTCTCACCTAAGGTCCCCTAGTAATCCCACCTACTCCCCAAGGCTCCCTAAGCTTCCCTAGGTTTCCCTAGGTACCTACCCCCATGAATCCCCTCCCTTAAACCCTAAACCCTAAACCCTAAACCCTACACCCTAAACCCTAAACCCTAAACCATAAACCCTAACCCTAAACCCTAAACCCTAAACCCTAAACCCGTGTGTTTTTGTTTTGGGTGAGAAGGGGGCATGGGTGAGGGAGGTGGAGGTTTTGTGATACCACCACCCCCTCTTTCTGTTTATTCAGGCTACTGGGCTTTTGGGGTTTAGAGTCCGATCATCCCCTAAACTCTACGCCCTACACGCTAAACCTATTTAACAACCCTAAACCCTAAACCCTAAACCCTGAACCCTGAACCCTGAACCCTGAACCCTGAACCCTGAACCCTGAACCCTGAACCCTGAACCCTGAACCCTAAACCCTAAACCCTAAACCCTAAACCCTAAACCCTGAACCCTAAACCCTGAACCCTGAACCCTAAACCCTAAACCCTGAACCCTAAGCCTTGGCAAGAGGAGCGCTCTCGTGCCCATGCCGATGCCGCCGACGATTCCCGCCAACTGGGGCCCTCAGTTCTCGCCCGGGGCCTTTGGGAGACTTTAGGGGAGAAAGGGTTTAGGGTTTAGGGTTTCGGGTTTAGGGGTGTAGGGTTTAGGGTTTAGGGTTTCGGGCTTTCAGGTGCAGAGTTTTTTGTGTTTTTCTTGGGGGGGGGGGGGCTTCAGGGTTCAGGGGTTTGGGGGTTAGGGTTCCAAGGTGTACTGTTGTTTTGGGTTTTAGGGTTCAGGAAGTTCAGGGTTTAGGGTTTTGTGGGGTTCAGTGTTCTAAGGTGCGCGGGCGTAGGAACAATTCCCACCGAGTCAAAACGCCCGAGCACCTAAAATACAAAGCTCCTACATGAGTAGTTCTCTGCATTAGGCTCCCTTTTGGGTAAACCGTTACTGTAAACCCCAAACCCCAAACCCCCCCCTGAACCCCAAAACCCTAAATCCTAAACCCTAAAGTTTAGGGTTTATAGGGTTTATAAGGTTTACAGGGTTTGTAGGGTTTATAGTATATATGGTTATTAGGGTTTATAGGGCTTATAGGGTTCAGGGCTTGTGGGCTTAGAGGGTTATAAGGGATTAGAGGGTTTCGGGGGTTATTGAGCTAGGTTTACCTGAGGTCTTACAGGGGTGCACAGGGCTTGCAGGGTTTACAAGGTTTCGAGGGCGTATAGGGTTTAGAGGGTTTATGGGTTTCACAGGCTAGGTCTACAGGGTTTACAGGTTTTACAGGGTTTCGAGGGCCGGGTTTAGAGGGCGCCTGTTCTCGATGCCTGCAATAGTCTGAACCAGTGACAACTGGCCGCGCAACCTCCAAGCCTCTACACCCTTAACCCGAAACCCGAAACCCTAAACCCTAAACCCTAAACCCTAAACCCTAAACCCTAAACCCTAAACCCTAAACCCTAAACCCTAAACCCTAAACCCTAAACCCTAAACCCGCCCAAAATCTGCCCTCAGTTGCACATGCTGGTTGGGGCTTACAACCATGAGTTTCCCAAGTGCGAAGATTTAACCTCTCCATATCCTAAGCCTTGTAGCGACCCCGTTTTTTTTCAAGGGCTTGGTAGCCCCGTGGTGCCCTTCTTTGCTGTGTGGGTTCTTGGTTCAGGGGCCGGGTTGTTTGAGAGCTGGGTAAGCAAAGGTCTATGCACATCGATGTATCTCAGAGCATAAGTCTGCTGCAAACATCTCAAAGCGCATGTCTATTGCATCGATGCATCTCCAATGTGAAAGTTTATGTAGACCACGGCATCTCAATTCAAAAGGTGTCTAGATTGATGCGTTTCAACACTGCATACTAGACAATCCCTTCCCCTAATATAAATACACCCCGAATACCAAAACCCTCTGGCCCCAAAACCCGGTCCGGCAGTCGCCCCTTTTAAATTTCTCTACAGCAGAAGGGTGTGGGGAAGCCTGAAACTTGTTGGACCTAGAGCTTGAAACCTGATCTATGACTGAGCCAGCAAGCTAGAAGGACTGGTTGTTTTGTTCGGACAAACGATCAGGACGGCCCCCCCCCCCCCCCCCATTACTAAAAACCCTTTGGGGGTTTTGGGGGGGGGGGGTGTTTATACTGCCGGGGAGGTGGGGCGTTTATATTCGGGGGAGGGATTGAACCCCGAATGGAACGGAGATCGCAGACCCCAAGCCCTAAACCCTCAGCCCCTTGCGCTAACAGTCCTGAATAGGGATTTTTCTACTACCCCTAGTATAGTCCCTATTAAGGACTGTTAGTGTAAAGGGGGAACATCCAAACCCTAAACCCCTAAACCCCATCTCTAAACCCTAAACTCTATACCCTAAACCCTAAACCCTAAGCCACTTACCGTGGATATTCACCTCGGAAATAGCTAGGGGTAAGTAAAGATGCTTCGCATCCCGCCTCGGCCCTTCCTGGCGGTTTACGGGCTTTAGGGGTTTTAGGGTTTAGGGTTTTAGGGTTTAGGGTTTAGGGCTAGGGTTTTGGGGGGCGTTGGGGGTTTTAGGGGTCTTAGGGGATTTAGCTTTTTGCGGTTTTAGGGTTTTAGGGGTTTTAGGGTTTGGGTTTAAGGGGTTTAAGGGGCTTTAGGGGTTTAGGCGTTATAGGGGTTTCAGGGGTTTGGTTTTAGGGGTTTTAAGGGGTTTTAGGGGTTGCGGGGGTTTTAGGGTTGTGGGGTTTCAGGGGTTTGGGGTTATAGGGGTCGGTCCATTTACAGGCATGTAGAGGTTTTGAGAGGGTCCATGGTTGGGCCATAGTCATCAACTCAGCTCGCCCCCACCCCCCCCCCCCCACCCCTGCTCTCCTCCAAGCGTGTGACAGGGTGGGGGGAGGGGGTGGGGTGGGTGGTTGGAAGGGCGTGGGCGGAGGGACTGCCACGCGTTGGCCAAGTTGTATTGTGTTGTTGTGCTTCGCGTGTTTGTAACTTCCCGTCTTCTGGCTTTACCTTCGCCTAGTCGTGGGTTGGGCCGCGCGGCGAGAGAGGGGTTCTTGAGCAGAGGTTGGCTAATGGCCGAAGTTGCAAAAGAGTGACTGGATCACGGCTCTGGATATTGGGCTAGGACGGTGCTTAAGCTTAAGATGGTTCGATGACTGGTGACTGGCACAAGCGACGACCCGAGAGGTTTCCCTGCTTCTTGTTCCATGGGTCAGTGTGGCGGTACCCATATATAGCCCTTGGCCACAACTTTCGTAAGTCAGCGTCGGCCACGAGAAGGCATTCCTTCGCGCTGAGTTGATGCACGCACTGATTGAGGGTCTATGCCTTTCCGGGCAGCCGTCATGCTGTTTGGAACTGAGATCATGATGCGTCGCAGGCGTAGCCCATCCTTATCACCCTCCCCACGACTGGCAGGTGATGCGGAGGCGGCGTTGAGATAATCGCAATCGTGAGACCTAGATTTAAGCAGTAAACGGTTTGTCAATGGTGGGTTGGGGCTAAAGTTAGGTTTGCAAAACGTTTTCAGTAGCATAATCATGTTTCAGAGCCACGGGCTACTGAAAAGCCCAGATTATGACTAAGGCACCACTCGAGTGGGTGTGTGACACCGTTGCATTGTCAGAAGCCTTGGCACGCGACCCGGTCGTAGGGATTAGGATTAAACCCTAAACCCTAAACCCTAAACCCTAAACCCTAAACCCTAAACCCTGCACCCCCACTCCAGGGAGTCTGGGGTTGGGCATTTCAGGGAGTCTCTGGGGTTGGGCACTCCAGGTCTCTAGGAGTAGACGGGCGAGGAGAAGAGTTCCGGGCGAGGAGAAGAGTTCCGGGCGAGGAGAAGCGTTGATTGTAAATCTAGCAACCCCACACCGAAGGTGGGGAAAAACCAAGGCCCAAGAGGCCGTAAAGCCCAAGGCCCAGTAGCCGCTACAATTCTAAAGCCCAAGGCCAGTAGTCCCTAAACCCGAAAGCCCAAGGCCACTAGGCCCAAACCCTAAACCCTAAGCCCTAAGCCCTAAGCCCTAAACCCTAAACCCTAAACCCTAAACCCTAAACCCTAAACCCTAAACCCTAAACCCTCGCAGCGTGCCTTGCCCACGAAGGTCTGTCCCTTGCCCCCGAAAGTTTGTGCCTTGTGCCCTCAACCTAAACCGCCCAAGCCCCTAAATCTTAAGCGCCCAAGCCTCACAACTTGCAGATTCAACCAAAACCGCCTGTCCACCAAAACGCCTAAACCCGAAACCCTATGAACTTTCCACAGAGCTTGCCAAAGATAAATATCTTCTGAGGCCGGGTAATGGGCCTGCTCCTGCACTGATGCCCGAGCCCCCAGCAGGGTTTAGGGTTTAGGGTTTAGGGTTTAGGGTTTAGGGTTTAGGGTTTAGTTTTTTTTTTTTTTTTTTTGGGGGGGGGGGGGGGGGGTAGGTATTGTTATTTATTATGATGTTCATCATTCTGTTTTTAAATGTTTTTTTGTTTATTATTGTATTTTATTTTTTGTATTTATTTATTTGATGTTTTTTTGGTGGGGGGGGGGTAGTTGTCCATATACACATGCATACGAATATGGTTTAGAGCGTCTTGGGCTTGTCAAGGTTTCGGTTGTCTTGTTTTTCTTGGGTTGTATGTATGCATACATATGGGTGCAGGGATCTGGGGGTTTAGGGCCTTTAGGGGTTTCGTCTTCTGTCAAAGGGCATTGGGGGCTTGAGTGGGTCGGGTAGAGTTTTCGGGGTTGGGGCTTTATGGTTTAGAAGGTTCCTGGATGGATATAGGTAAGGTTGTAAGATAGGAAGCGGCAGTTACAACCTTGTTTAGGTGCATGCACCACTCTGACTGTCGGTAACCCTATAGAGCCCAAACATTCAAGTGCCTTCTACACCTAACCCTGCACCCTACACCCTACACCCTAAACCAGCTACGTACCCTTCTTGTACCCTAAACCCTAGACCCTAAACCCTAAACCCTAAACCCAAGACCCTAGACCCTAGACCCTAGACCCTAGACCCTAAACCTTTCGGAGCCCTGGCAAATCAAAGCCGCCCCGCGACAAACGCCCCGCGCAGGCTGGAGCCTCCGCCGGTCGAGGCGCGAAGCCTCGCTCGAGTTTTTAGGGTTCAGGGTTCAGGGTTCAGGGTTTAGGGTTTAGGGTTTAGGGTTTCGTGTTTAGAGTTTGGTGTTTAGTGTTTTGTGTTTAGGGCTTAGAGTTGAGGGCTTAGGGCTGTGTATGGTTTAGAGTTTATGGTATCGGGCTTAGGGTTTAGGATTCAGGGTTTAGGTTTGTTGCTTTATGTTTTTCCAGTGATTTTGGTTTAAGGGTTTCTTGGTTTTTTTTGTAGGGGTTTTGGGGGCTAGATGGTGTTTAGGGTGTTTTTGTTTTTGTTGTTATTTGAGCCTTAGGGTTTTAGGCGCTAGCGTTGGGGTTTCAGGGTCTATTGCCAGGGCTATTGTCTGGAGGGGTTATTATGTGCGCTTAATGGCTTTAAGATGTTTTAGGGAGAGTAGGCTGTAGGATTTTCGGGTTGAGGTTTCAGGATTGTAGGGCTCAGGGGGGGTATTTGAGGGTTAGGTTTCAGGCTTTATTGGAGCCTAGGGTTTGTTTGGAGCAGGCTTTTTGCAAAGAATCTGCCCGAATGACCCGAATTAAAACCCTAAACCTAAACCCTAAACCCTAAACCCTAAACCCTAAACCCTAAACCCTAAACCCTAAACCCTAAACCCTAAACCCTAAACCCTAAACCCTAAACCCCCTTTGGGGAAAAGGTGAAGTCCAGGTTTACCCGGCGCCTTGCAGGCCCCAAAGGTGGTCAAGGCCAAGTGGATAGAAGTGGCGGAGGATGTATCTTGGAATGCACACCTCCGTGGGGCTTAGGGTTTAGGGTTTAGGGTTTAGGGGGTGAGGGTTCAGGCTTTAGGGTTTATAGGGTTCAGGGCCATGCATAGACCGTAGATCCGAATGGAGGCCACAAAAAGCCGGGGCGGGTGAACAGCTTAAGTACCCTAAGCCAGCCTTGCAGGACTTTCTTGTAGGTTTATTGGACGGGCGAGGTCGTGCTTTGGTTCTTCGTGGGGTCTAAGCTGGTTCAGGTGGGTGGTTGTCAAAATCATGATCCCTTTTGGGGTACCCTAAATAGTTAGGTGCCGTATTATAATAGGGATCCACAAAAAACTCACCATAATTTTGACAACCACCCAAGTGAGTCGCTACTGAGCTGGAGAGTCACGCTACCGGTCATTTCTCAAGCTCTTGGATTCGACTTCAAAAGGCCTTCTGGCAACGTACCCCTGTGCTACCTAGCAAAGACCTGACACCCCCAAACCTACAAACCCTACAAATCTTACAAACCCTACCAACCCTACCAACCCTTAAAACCCTTAAAACCCTTGAGGCCCTTGAAACCCTTGAAGCCCCTAAACCCTAAACCCCGAACCCTAAACCCTTGAAACCCTTAAAACCCTTAAAACCCTTAAAACCCCTTAAAACCCTTAAAAACCTTAAAATCCTTAAAGCCCTTAAAACCCTTAAAACCCTTAAAACCTGTAAAGCCCTTAAAACCCTTAAAACCCTTAAAACCCTTAAAACCCTTAAAACCCTTAAAACCCTTAAACCCTTAAAACCCTTAACCCTTAAAACCCTTAAAACCCTTAAAACCCTTAAAACCCTTAAACCCTTAAACCCTTAAAACCCTTAAAACCCTTAAAACCCTTAAAACCCTTAAAACCCTTAAAACCCTTAAAACCCTTAAAACCCTTAAAACCCTTAAAACCCTTAAAACCCTTAAAACCCTTAAAACCCTTAAAACCCTTAAAACCCTTAAAACCCTTAAAACCCTTAAAACCCCTAAACCCCTAAACCCTAAACCCTAAACCCTAAACCCTAAACCCTAAACCCTAAACCCTAACCCTAAACCCTAAACCCTAAACCCTAAACACACTCTAGGCCGACATCGTCAAGGAGGGCTGGCCGGCGATGGCCCCTGCCCTTCTCTACGATACTGCGGCGCAAGACCCCCCCGGGCATGCCGTTGCCGTTTCGCTGGGGAGTTGGAGGTTCAGGGTTTAGGGTTTAGGGTTTAGGGTTTAGGGTTTAGGGTTTAGGGTTTAGGGTTTAGGGTTTAGGGTTTAGGGTTTAGGGTTTAGGGTTAGGTATTACGGTTTAGGGTTTAGGGTTTAGGGTTTAAGGTTTAGGGTATAGGGTTTAGGGTTCAGGGGTTTTGGGTATAGGGTTTAGGTTTAGGGCTTGGGCTGTAAAGGGCTGTAAGGGCTTTCGTGGGATTTTCGGGATGCCTTGCCAGGGGTCAGGCTTGTGCGACAGATGGGGGGGGGGTGGTGTAGGGTTTAGGGTTTACGGCCAAAGTTAGATTTAGGGTTTAGGGTGTTTAGGGTTTAGGGTTGAGGATCCCCAAACCCCATGCGCGAAAACCCTAAGCCTTTGCCCCAGAACCCCGAAACGTGCCTAAGCCATCCCTCTGTACCCCACGCCCCTAAACCGTTCGAAGCTCAAAAAAGCTGGAAGAACCCCAACCCGCAACCCGCAAACTTCCAACCCCGAAACACCCCAAATAAACCCTAAGCCCTAAGCCCTAAAGCCTAAAGCCTAAACCCTAAACCCTAAACCCTAAACCCTACACCTTAAACCCTACTCGTAACAAGTAGCGAGCCCGAAGATGAGGGTTCTTTGTGTCCAGGATCTTCTGTGCTCGGCTCCACGGCAGCAGATCCCGAGCGGGAGGGATGTTAGGCTTAGCGTTTAGGGTTTAGGGTTTAGGGTTTAGGGTTTAGGGTTTAGGGTTCATCAATCCATGGGCGGTATTGTTCAGGGCTCGGGGTTATAAATGGGACCTTAAATGCGAGTTGCCTCGGCGAGACTCAGGCCTCGTACTTGGTCTACGAGCTCGCTGGCGCTGCAATGGATAACATGACCTTGGCCCACGACTGGGAGTGGAGCTATGGCCCTAAACCCTAGCCCTAAACCCTAAACCCTAAACCCTAAACCCTGAACCCTAAACCCTAAACCCTAAACCCTAAACCCTAAACCCTAAACCCTAAACCCTAAACCCTAAACCCTAAACCCTAAACCCTAAACCCTAAACCCTAAACCTAAACCCTAAACCCAATTCATGTTCTGGGGCTTCCGGTTCTTTGCCGTCGTCAACCCCAGCGCAAGTCCCGAAACCCTACAACCTAAGCCTCTGGATTGTCGGAGACCCAAAGCCCTAAGCCCGGTGTTTCGAAACCTCAAACCCTAAGCCTCTAATCTTTTGTAAATCCGAAGCCCGAAGCCTCTAAGCGTCGGAGACCCCCAAGAATATTGAGGGCCCACTTCGTGCCTCTTCAGGCGAAGAACACCCTAAACCCTAAACCCTCACAATTCTAGGGCTTAGGCTGTTTTTGCGTTTGTTTTTGAGGAATCCCTAAACTAAACCTAACCTCTAAGCCCCAAGCCCAAAAACCTCCACCCTCTAAGGGTTTCGGGTTGTTTGCGTTTTGTTTTTGAGGTTCCTAGATGTCTACCCAAGACTGCTACCACTGCTACGGCTGAGTTTCGACCTATCAGGTCCGTCCCTACTGTTCAGGGGCGGGGGTTGAATTAGGGTTTAGGGTTCAGGGCTACGGGGTGAATGCATCCTAGAGAAAAACTCCCGGAGCAGACGTCACTGCAGCCAGGAAAGAGTTCCCTGACATCGCAGATGCCCTCAGGTGCCACGTCTCAAGATCTATTATCAGGGTCGGAATACGTACTTTTGGTACTCCCTTCGGGTCCCTTTAGATAAAATAAATCTCCAAAACCCTAATCGAATCATTACTAATAGTACTCCCTTAGGGTCCCTTTATCATTATACAATAAATATCCCCCCCCCCCCAACCATCCCACTTATTCAGGCCCCTATATTACGCGGTCCTTAGTTTTACGGGAGGGGTTCAATAGGGAAGCTTAGGGGAACCTGGTCCTAAACCCTAAGCCCTAAACAGGGAACCTTCGGGAGCAGTGAGGGGGGCTTCTTGTACCCGTTTTATTCCTAGGTTTTGCTTGGGCTTAGTTTCCCTTCAGGCTCCACGGACTCTTATTTTGAGTTGTTTTTTTTGGGCCCCGAAGAGATCTTTAAGGGTTTTGTTTCAACCCTGGTAGGGTTGAAGGCTGGACATCCGCATCATGGTTGCTGTGTTGGTTGTTAGGGCTTCTTCTGACGGGTTTAGGGGCCTTAGTTGCAGGGGTGGGTACCTTGGTTTGATTTTGTCTCGCAATGTCTCGCAGCTCCCATACCCCGTTAGCTCAGAACTGTTCCTTAGAATGAAGTAGAATAGGCGGCGTACTATATTTGCTCAAGGACATGTCAGTATGTTTACTTGACATTTCAATCCCAAAGCGGTAGGCTTAGGATTGCGCTTCCTAGAGGCTCTCAATGGCGCTGATCTGCACCTGCGGAATATTCCTTGCAACCCAACGGCCCCAGACTTTAAAGCCTACTTGGACTTGGAGGTTCAGGGTACTCCTTAACCAACTACAACTACAACTGTACTTAAAACCCACTTATAAGCCCAATATGTGTCCTAAGATGGCTATAATTTGGGTTACAAGTACAGATATAAACGGCAAACAAGTACCATGAACCTCTAAGTAATTGAGCCTTCCAAGAGCAGATGAAAAACCCAGGTTTAGGGTTAGGCTTTAGGGTTTAGGGTTTAGGCTTTGGACTCTCGAAAACGGCAGCGCGACAAGTTGAGGGCATGGAAACCCATGAGCTCTGGAAGGGTTCGGGACTTTGGGGTTGTAGTGTTAGGGTTTAGGGTTTAGGGTTTACGTGGTGAATAGAATTCCTACAGAAAGAGGAAGGGGAGCCGGCTAGATTCCTTGTCAGTGGGCGGAGGGTTGAGGGTACAGGCCCAGATGATCTGCTAAGCAGCACCGGTGGGAGGGCAGAGGTGAACCGAAGAAACCCACAAGGCAAGCACTTGCCTTCCTCCACAATGAGTTAAGGGTTCAGGGTCTGAAAGTTTGTATTCGGAGCGAAACCCTAAACCCTAAACCCTCAACCCTCAACCCTAAACCCTAAACCCTAAACCACAAACCCTTAGGCAAGTGAACCGCATCCATGTGAGGCAGTCAGGCATGATCGAGTACCCCTACTGCTTGGTGCAGCGGCCGCATCAAGTCCCAAGGTTTTCTCAGGGCCGAGGTTTGGGGTTTGGGGTTTAGGGTTCAGGGTTTAGGGTTTAGGGTTCAGGGTTTTGGGTTTGGGCTGAGAGGTCCTGAGAGGTTCGGAGTAGTTACTTCAGGCCATCCCTCTGTCAAAGGGTTTCCGTAGGTGTTCAAGGTATCGTTTTCTTAATTCCCTACGCAGACCGGTATGGAAAGTAGAGTTTTGGGGCTTAGGGTTTTGGGATGCAAGCAGGGTTTATGGTTTAGGGTTTAGGTCTGAAAGTCGGGTTTAGGGTTTTGGGTTTAGGGCTTTATAGGCTTCGAAGCTGGCTACAAGCCAATCATCGTGATCTGAGGCCACTGTTACCTTGGGAGACAATCGGCGCCTTGGCTGCGAACTTTACCCACAGGCTTAGATTGGCGTATAGTTCTCTAACTTAGGGCCCCTTCTCGGGTATATAGCACAGTGCCCTTAACATAAGGACCCCAACAGAGAGACCTTAACTTGGCGAACTAACCCCGATATCCCCTCTCCCGAAGCCCTTTTAAAACCCCCCATAACACCTCAGCTTCTCAACGCAGCGCCGCTCAGCATGCTGTAGCGAACTTTGGAGTTCAGGCTTACGGGAGTCTAAGGGTTAAGGCCTTACAAGGGACCGAGCCGCTCAAGCGTGCACTTAAGGGGGCCCTCCAGAGAGAGGAACGGCACCCTCGCGCGAGACATCAATCCCAGCCACTCCAAGTGCTCCTTCAAGGGGGGGGGGGGGGGGGGCACGCCTCATCTTTTGGGCCAGCTTCAGGTTTTTTTTTTAGGAGGGGGGGGGGGGATTCTAGGGGGGCTTTTGAAGCCACAAATCTTTAAGCCGTATGGTTCTGGCTTAGGGTCTTGGGTGCTGGGGCTTTGGGTTTAGGGTGTGAGGTGGCAAAACAGTGGACACACCCCACAACGAAAGCCTTCTACCCAAACCTCCCAGCAGGTCCCTGCCCTTAAACGTGCCTGGGTAGGCCCAAGGGATATTTTACATTCTCCCTTATTGGGCTTAAGAGGATCCTATTCAGGAATATTTTTCGGGTGGTTTTAAGGGCCATCCTAGTTGCCGAGCCACGAGGCAGAAATGGGCTGTGGGCGTTGCTACGCAGCTCGGCCTGCAGTGCGCACGTGAAGAAGCCAGGTCGGACCTCGCGGGATAGTTGACAAACTTCCCTTGAGAAGATCATATTCGGGATTTTTTCATAATGCTGTGAGGGGCCAACCTAGAAAAATCACGCCACAGATTGGTGGAGAAGATGTCCGAAATCACATGTTCTTTCGGTTTTGTTCCCCGGTGGTCGTTCCTTGCTGAAGCTAAGTCGTGGTCTTTAGATTGCTGGGCTCCTGTAACGAAACAACCACTTGTTGTCCTCGTTACTAAGCTATGATGCCCAGTACCTTTGACCCCCTAAGCGTTAAGGTTCCCATAAACCGAACCGTAAACGAAGTGATGCTTTTTGCTGCTAGGTTACTGGAACCCAAGGTACTCAGGGCTTGGGGATTCGGGTTTTGGCAGGCAGGAATCTCAGCTGTGACTTCTTGAGGAATGGGAAGCACCGTACCCACGCGGCCAAGCTGCGCCTGGGATTTGTTAGTGATGAGATCCGAACCTGGAAGATGGTCCTTCATTTTACTTGGCTCCATTTAAGTGAGGTTTAGGGTTTAGGGCTTGGGGTTTAGGGTTTAGGGTTTAGGGTTTAAACGTGTTCCAAGTGGAATGATAAAGGTTTACATCGGTGCGTCGGACGAGAGGGAACCTTGCCTTGGCTATGCCTGAAGTATCCTGCAGGACGTCAAACACTTATTCTTTGTTTGTGGGTTAGGGTTCATAAGGGTTTAGGGTTGAGGGTTCAGGGTTCAGGGTTCAGGGTTCAGGGTTTAGGGTTTAGGGTATAGGAACCCTTGTGCACCTAACTAGATCAGGAAGTGGACACCCTTTTTGCTGTCCTACCAGTCGGTTTCTGGGTTTAAGACTTGCCCGCGCTCCACCCCCCCTCACCATGCTTGCAGTGTGTTAAAAACACATACATATCCACCTACCTGCCTACATACATACACACGTGAAAACAAACCTGTACCGAAACCCTGAACCCTGGACCCACTTTACCCTAAGAAACCGGCATGAGCACAAAACAGGGGGACAAAGGACTCTTATGGTGAGATGGCTTGTTCTTCGCGCGGCGGACGGGTAAGAGGGTAAGAGAATAGTTGCTCGGCTCATTGGGTTCCTTGTGGATCGGAGAGGGGGTGCAGAGGAGGGCCCTCAGAGCTCAGAAGTAGCAAGCAACGAAGTAGCGAAGGATTAACACCGGAGCAAGCCAACACACAGCTCAAAGCACCCAGGCATGCCCCAAATACCCACAAGCCTTACAACTTACCCGAGCTGTCACAAAGCCGGCCCCCCCCCCCCCCTCCCCCAAGGCTGCACACCAGAAACCCAATGATCTTTCCCACTTTCAAGGTGTTCATTGGTTTTCTGGGCGGGGGGCGGGGGGCAAGGGAGGGCCATCCCTACACTAAATTAAAGCGCTTAATTTCCAAGTCCCCTCCTTAGCCCTGAAACCCCTAAATCCCCCAACCCTAAACCCCAAACCCTAGACTCAATTTCTCAAAGCCACGTAGCCGGAGCCCAGCGAACTTCCAGTCTGAGACCAGGGCGTTGGCAATCGCGCTGGCCGCCGACGCGCAGTCCTTGCGGGCGCGGAAGGGTTTAGGGTCTTAGGGTCTTAGGGTCTTAGGGTTTTAGCGTCTTAGGGTCTTAGGGTCTTAGGGTCTTGGGGTCTTAGGGTCTTAGGGTCTTAGGGTCTTAGGGCCTTAGGGCCTTAGGGCCTTAGGGCCTTAGGGCCTTAGTGGTCTTAGGGTCTTAGGGTCTTAGGGTCTTAGGGTCTTAGGGTCTTAGGGTCTTAGGGTCTTTGGGTCTTTGGGTCTTTGGGTCTCAGGGTCTTAGGGTCTTAGGGTCTTTGGGTCTTTGGGTCTAGGGTGTTGAGGGGTTTTGAGGTCTGGGGTTTGGGGCTCCGGGTTTGGAGCTTTCTTTCGAAATCTGAGGTGTCTGGGGCTTTCAAGTTTCAGGATTTCCCCTGAACGCAAAGAGTTTAGGAATTAGGGGTGTTGGTGTTTGGGGTTCAGGGACTGGGCTCTAAATTAGGGATCCTTCAAGGGTCCGATAGTACGGCGCCCGAGAGGCCAGGACGGGCTTCAGTTTCAGGGTGCTTTTGGCACAAGACCTCTGGCAGCGGAAGGGTGAGAGGTTTAGGGCTGGTGCCTCCAGATGAACCCTAAACCCTAAGCCCTAAACCCTAAAAACCCTAAAAACCCTAAAACCCTAAACCCTAAACTCTAAAACTCGCACACTTCCGGCTGCTGCACCCCCGCCCTCCTAAAGCCCCCCCCCCCCCACTGCCAAAAAAGAACAAAACTCAGGCCTTCAGAAGTGGGGAGCATTTAGGGTTATGTGTTGCGCCTCTGGCTCCCAAATTCAGCCTTAACTGTAGGTTAAGAAGTAAATCAAAGTGCTTGACAAAGGTGTGTTTGTAAATACATAAGTGAGTAGATTAATGAAGAAGAAATAAGTTATATACATGTATATGTAAATATATTTATATATAAGTATATACATACATACATGCATACATGCATACGTACATATACATACATATACATATACATATACATATACATATACATATACATATACATCTACATATACATATACATATACATATACATATACATATACATATACACATACATATACATATACATATACATATACATATATACATACATACATACATACATACATACATACATACATACATACATACATACATACATACAAATATTGATATAACGAGAACTATTGTGAAGTCGACCAGCACTGGACTTGCACTAAGCCAATGCAATCACAGCCCGGTCACGCTGTTTTACGACTTCGCGAGTTCAAGCACTTGTGCAGCTACGCCTGAGTGCGTCCGGTCGGACCGCACAGCAACCTAAGAGCTACTGTACGAAACTACCGTGCTCAAAGGCACAAGCTCGGTACTTGAGCCAAAATATTGGCATTGTTACGAATTGCAAAACTACACATGCAAGGAAAACAACAAGCTGCACTAGCACTAAGCAAGCACTCCATGCATGCTTTGACCTGCTCACATTCGCCCCTCAGCCGAGGCTTCCGGCTCACCAAGAGCTCATAGTGCGTCAAGCACTTCAGCAACGCGGCAAATGGGGTAGGGCGAGGGTGTCGCGTGCGACTCTGGTAGAGCCCGCACATCATGAGCATTGGCATGCGGCTTGGGCGGCAGCCCGCACTACCAAACGGACGCACGACGACAGCAGCCCTCAACGACCCTAAACCACCCCAAGTCGCGAGCGCTCACCTTTATGCAGGCAGGCGAGGCTCCAGAGTACTGGGCAGGTCTTTATGCTGCTAGTGCAAAGCTATGGTACAAATGGTACACTGTACAACTACCGGCCCTAAGCTACGGCTACGGCTACTCACCTATCCAGAACTACCCTACGGGCTACCGGACTCAGCGAGAGCCGCGCACATTGCTTGTGCCGCAGGCAGTGCAGCTCGCACGCGCTTCGGCGAGCGCACTGCCGCGACCAGGACACGGTCCGCAGCAGCCGCAACGGGCTGGGAAGAAAAGTGCGGGTAGGCAAAATGGGCAGGGAAAACCCCTGCCGCGGCTCTTCGCCCGCAAGCAAAACACAACCAAAAGAGGCTCGACAGCGTGCCGCGCTGTGATGCCTGAGAAATCGCGTGGAAACCCCTTCCACGCCGCGCCGACTGGCCGCAGCCTACTCGATACCCTGTGGAGCAGTGTTGGGGGCACGAGCGGTGTTGCCAGCAACGTTGGAGCTACTGGCTCGCTCCAACTGAGGGCGCTTTGCGGCCGCCTCATCGAGGGAGAATGCCTCGGCCGACACCCTCTGGAAATCCTCGATGTAGGACTGCACGACTGAGTGCGTCTTGGGGACCTCAAGCCTAAGCCCTGCCTCCGCATTGGCCTTGCTGCTTGTGGTAAAATTGAGGCTCCCAATCAGCACCACCGCGCCATCCGGCCGCAGTAGGCAAAGGGCTTTGGCATGGTGCAGCCCTTGAATCCCGGTGCCTACCTTAGCCCCGCGGCCGTCGCGAGCATAGGCGTCGCGCACGGATGTGCCACAACCCACCTTCACCTCGGCACCTGCGGCCGCCAAGCGTTTCAACGCTTGCCACTGAAGCTTGGTGCGGTGGCATTGTCCCATGTCGGCGACAATCCGAACGCTTGCGCCCTTGCCAAGCGACGCTTCGATTGCCTCGATGCAGGATGGGCAATCCAAGCTGTACGCCCGGATGTAGATCACATCCTCTGCTGCTCCAGACCCAAGCAGCGTTTGGGCGGCCTGAACGTATGGCCCGCCCGCAAGGAATTCCGCTTCTTTGACTGGAGAACTCCTAGCGGGGGCTGGGCCCTTGTTCCTCCGGCCTGGCGTGCGCGCCACAATGGCGGTGGCGGCACGTTGCACGGAGCCGGACTGTGCGTGGGCCGCGCTCGCTCCATCTGCTGGGGCCGCGGCCAGGTCACGACCCGCGAGCCCCTGAAAGCAGGAAAGCCCGCGGCTCTTGGCCGCCAGTTGGGAGAAACATCCTTCACTGTTTCCCAAACACAACCTTACCCTTAGCCAGGGTTTCGGAGGCGGTACTCCGAATGGAGTCTGTGAGCGCAGGACCCGCGCCTCGCTGGGCCGCGTGCAAAAACCCTAAGGAACGAGCGGTGTCCATTGCGGCATCGCAATGCCCGCAGCGTCCTTCTGCCAGGTAAGCACGACAGCCACAGGCAGCTGTCTCCTCCTTGAGGTGCACCCAAACCTTATGGGTCACCTCTTTCTTGGAGCTCGCGACCTCAAACGTCGCTTCGGAGCCAAGGAGCTGAGACAGCCGCGCCTCAGGGGCCGCGGTGTTGCCATGTCGCATATGCGCAATGCGATTGGCAACGGCACGACTCACGTACCACAGAACAGCGCCGCACAAAATCACTACTACCAGAGTGATGGCTGTTCCGGCGACCCACACGGTCCGCCTGGCCCCATGGCCGATTTCCTCGACAACGTCGGCCGAAACCGTTGCAACCGCGTGCATGGAGTCCTCGACAACATGCACAACCCCGCGGTGCAACTGCAAGGCAATCGGCGCCGACGCTGCAGCCGCCAGGCCCCACCAGCCGTTGATGTTCCCGTTGAGGGCGTGCATCAACCGATTGAGGAGCCCGCGACCCAGGAAAAAGGGGGTCCGCGGCGGAAGCGGAACACTTGGCGGCGGCCGGGCCGACCCGCACGGGAAAGCTGGGACCCAGCTTGTGCTTGGGCGGGGTTGGAGCGCGGCAACAATGCCCGCGGCGAAAGCGCCCCAGGCGTACTTGCCCCTCCCCTTGGGCTTGCCCTTGGCATCGGACTTGCCTCTGCCTTTCGGCTTGCCCTGGCCCTTGCCACGGGCGTCTGCCCAAGCACTCCACGGGTCGCGGCCCTTCCCGTACGTCGCCTCTTCGCGACGCCTCTTGCCGCCCCTCTTCTTGTGTTTACTTCTAAGAAGAGGCTGGATGGTTTCCTGGTCCATCGCGCGGTTGGCCAGAAGGATCTCGTACTCCAGCTCATCCTGGCTGCTTTCGGAGCCCGCCGCGGATCGGGGATCCCGCGGGAAACGACCTCTGCCAAGCGGAGAGGCGTGCTGCACCGAAAGCACAGCTGCCTGAATGAAAGGTTCCATTCATAGCAGTTAGGGCACTGCCACCCTGCTATGCGGAGCGCCTCGCTGATGTGATCATCGCGCTCCGCCTTCTCCGCCTGGCGCCGCTCCCGCTTCTTGGCGCGCTCGGCCGCCTGCGCCTCCTCGGCCGCCTGGAGGGCTTCAGCGAGTTCCTCGTCACTGAGGAGCCTCGCGGCATCTGCCCGCGCTTGCTGTTCTTCCTCCTCGTCCTTGACGACCTCAGCCTCCTCCTCCTGTTCCTCCTTGACCAGGGGCTCTTCCTCCTCCCGGCCAACTTTGAGGTGGGACTCAGTGCGAACCTCGGCGCGCATCAAAATGACGTCAAGGCTATCCGCGGCTGGGTCGCCCGCGAAGAAGGAGTCGATCTCCTTGGCATGGAGATCGTCAAGAGGCGTCACCAGGTCCGGCGAGTAATCTCGCTTGGAGCGACGCTCGGCCAGGCGTCGCTGGACGTCGCCCTTCGGCGGCTCGAGGGCCCGCCCGCGCGGAGCGGCCTCCCGCGGAGGTCTCGGCTCGGCCTCCTCTTTGGGCTCGCTCTTGGGCGTGGACCCTCTGGAGGGGGGTCCAGCTCGGGGTCATCGCGAAGCCACCCCGGCGGATGGCTACCACCATAAATGTGGTGCGATCCATCCTCAAGCTGGATTCGGTCCCCTCGCTTCAGGAGCGGGACCCTCGAGTGATCGTACCCGTTGGCTTTGTGGTACCTAATCACTCGGAGCATGGGCACCTCCCCATACTCACCGTCCTTTCCTCGGCGGAACAGCCGTCCCCGCCAGTCCTGACGTAAAGGGTCAAGAGGTGCGGAGGGGCTGATCCCCAGGTTGGGCGGAAGAGAGGCGCCATGGCAGGCCGCCTGATGCAAGTGGTACTGCACCAGCGACTCAAAGGCCAGCCCGCATCCAGGAGCCGAGCATCCATAGTGGCCGTCAGCATTGGGGCGAGGCTCC